CGTTCTAATAGAGGTTTTACGGTATTTAGAAAGGTAGAACCCTTCAATTGAGCGGTTCTTATTTTAGAAAGGTCACTGTCAACTTGAACCAGAATTATCTAGTTCAGGAATAAAATCTGAAAAAATGACCTAAAAAATAGCTGAAAATGCCAGAAAACAAGCAAAAAAATTGTAAGAAATGCACCAGAATGAAAAATGAAAAAAAATCATGATTTTTTTGGCATTTTTGAATTTCAAAAAAGTTTCTGAATTTCAGATTCTTTGAATCTGAATTTTTGAATTTCCGAATTCCCGAATTTCTGAATTTCTGAATTTCTGAATTTCTGAATTCCAGAATTTCTGAATTTCTGAATTTCTGAATTCCGGAATTTCTGAATTTCTGAATTCCGGAATTCCGGCATTTCTGAATTTCTGAATTTCTGAATTCCGGAATTTCTGAATTTCTGAATTCCGGAATTCCGGCATTTCTGAATTTCTGAATTTTAGAATTTCTGAATTTTTGAATTTCTGAATTTCCGAATTTCCGAATTTCTGAATTTCTGAATTTCTGAATTCCGGAATTTCTGAATTTCTGACTTTCTGAATTTCCGAATTTCCGAATTTCTGAATTTCTGAGTTTCTGAATTCCCGAATTTCTGAATTTCTGAATTTCTGAATTTCTGAATTTCTGAATTCCGGAATTTCTGAATTTCTGACTTTCTGAATTTCCGAATTTCCGAATTTCTGAATTTCTGAGTTTCTGAATTCCCGAATTTCTGAATTTCTGAATTTCTGAATTCCGGAATTTCTGAATTTCTGACTTTCTGAATTTCCGAATTTCCGAATTTCTGAATTTCTGAGTTTCTGAATTCCCGAATTTCTGAATTTCTGAATTTCTGAATTTCTGAATTTCTGAATTTCTGAATTTCTAAATTCCGGAATTTCCGAATTTCTGAATTTCTGAGTTTCTGAATTCCCGAATTTCTGAATTTCTGAATTTCTGAATTCCCGAATTTCTGAATTTCTGAATTTCTGAATTTCTGAATTTCTGAATTTCTGAATTTCTAAATTCCGGAATTCCGGCATTTCTGAATTCGGGAATTGTTCTATTAGAGGTTTTACGGTATCTGATTTTTACTAATTCAAATATTTTATACCAGGAAGCTGGTGCGCCTTTGGCGCGAATCAATCTAGTTTTTTACTGATTCGTGGCTCCGCTCCTCAATTATTATAAAAGGGTCACGTGAATTTATAATATATTAATTTCTCAAGTTTTTCAAAAGTTGACAGACTGACATCGGGATGAAGTTGCGTCTCTTTCTCTCTCTCTCTCTCTCTCTCTCTCTCTCGGTCTGTCCGCACAAGTGGAAAAACTTGAATTAAAATATAAACTGACGTGACCTTTAAAGAGGGAGTGAGTCGCGAAGAAAGGGTCAAATCGCGAAAAAAAGGGTCAAATCGCGAAAAAAAGGGTCAAATCGCGCCGAAGGCGCGGCAAACAGGCTAGTATATAAGAAAGATTTTGTGGTAATTTTCTCTATTTTTCTATTTTTCCACACTATTTGAAACTATTTTTAAAATTGAAAAACGATGTTTTCTTACTCCAAACTTGTTCAATAAACCTCGAAATCATAAAACCCTTCATTTACAAAAACTGAAAGAAAATATGCAAAAAAGAAACATGTCGAATAGAAAAACCATGTCCACCAATTTTTGAAGAGTCTGAAAATGATGATGATCATGTAAATGCACAAAACATTTTGTCAAAAACGGCTAAAAATGACCCAAAATAAAAAAAAATGAAAAATGATTTTCGGTCATTTTGGGCATATTTTTTTTTGAATTTCGAATTTTAAAATGCGGGTCTAAAAGCTCTAAAACTACGAAAAATGAAAAATCATGAAAAATAGCTCAAAAATCATGAAAAAAATAGTCTAAAAATCTTATTTAAACAATGAAAAATGCAGGCTCGGAGACCACAATGCTGAGCATATCAAACAAAAATGCCATCTCCATTGTCTTTTCGTGTTCCAGTTGGTTTTTCTGAAAATCGTGATCAAAAATCATGCATTTTCAGCTTAAAACTGTCCATAAATGCTCATAAACGATTCTGGTCCATTTTTAGGCATTTTTGAGTTTTTTTTGAGCATTTTTCAAATTTTCAAACTCCCGCCAAACTCTTACCAACACTCCATTGACCATATCCATAATCACCGCCAGTCTTGGCGCATAGTTCTTGATTTTCAGCTCAGTTTGATAATATTCATGTAGATTTTCAGAAATTTCAGCCAAAAATGAGTCAGCCGCTTGAAGAGTTTGTCCCAATAATTTACGGGACGCATAATTCCAGACAATTTGAGATAATGCGAAATTGATTTCCATTTCTGTGAAATTCCATTCCAAACACGGCCGAACGACGAGCTCAAAGTATTGGAGAAGATTGTGTCGCAGGATTCTGGAAAAATTAAAATGATTGAAAATCATTCTGATGCATGCGGAATTTTAGATATTCAGAGCTTCAGAATTTCTGAGGAAACAGAAATCCCGACCCAGGAATCCGGAATCGGGACCTAGGAATCCAGAATCCGGAATCCGGAAATCCGGACCCGGGAATCCGGAAATCTGGACCCAGGAATCTGGAATCCGAAATCCGGACCCAGGAATCTGGAATCCGGACACAGGAATCTGGGATCTGGAATCGGGACCTAGGAATCCGGAAATCTAGGCCCGGAAATCCGGAATCCGGAAATCTGGACCCGGAAATCCGGAATCCGAAATCCGGACGCAGGCATCCGGGATCCGGACCCAGGAATCCGAAATCTGGAATCCGGACCCAGGAATCTGGAATCCGGACCCAGGAATCTGGAATCCGGACCCAGGAATCTGGAACCCGGACCCAGGAATCCGGGATCCGGACCCGGGAATCCGGAATCCGAAGTCCGGACCCAGGAATCTGGAATCCGGACGCAGGCATCCGGGATCCGGAATCCGGAATCCGAAATCTAGACACAGGAATCCGGAAATCCGGACCCAGGAATCCGAAATCTGGAATCCGGACACAGGAATCCGGAAATCTGGACCCGGAAATCCGGAAATCCGAACCCAGGAATCCGAAATCTGGAATCCGGACACAGGCATCCGGAATCCGGACCCAGGAATCCGAAATCTGGAATCCGGACACAGGCATCCGGAACCCGGACCCAGGAATCCGAAATCCGGACCTAGGCATCCGGGATCCGGGCCCAGGAATCTGGAATCCGGAATCCGGAAATCTGGACCCGGAAATCCGGAAATCCGGACCCGGGAATCCGGAATCCGAAATCCGGTCCCAGGAATCTGGAATCCGGACACAGGCATCCGGGATCCGGACCCAGGAATCCGGATTCCTTCTCCGGTCCCCTCTCGGGAGCTCCGAGAGGAGAGAACTGATTGTTCCCTCTACTTTTTCTCTTCCTTTATAGTAATCTTATCTCCCTGAGGTCATCTTTGGTCGTGGATTTCTAATTTAATTCACGCAGTTCTTTTTGTCTAGAATTTAATTTTTTTCAAACTTTCTTTTCCTTTATATATATATATTTTTTTTTTCATCACGTTTAAATCTCACTTGATTTTTCACTTTTGGAATTCGGCTCATTTTTCATGATTTTTCATTTTTAAAATGCTCAAAAATACCCACGCTCTCCACTCATGCAATCTTGGTCCTTGAATCTCCGAATGATCAATTGTCAATTTGTCAAATACTGTTACAGTATCGTCCGAAATGAGCAATAACTTCTCATCCAAACATTTTTTTCCGAAAACTTTTGCCGACATTGAATTCCGTTCAAAACGACGCCAAACTGCCCAGACGATTTTGAAAAATTGAAGCTGAAAATGTAGAAGAATGCAAAATGTGCATTCTGGTGCATTTTTAATCATTTTTAAGCATTTTGACGGTCAAAACGCTCTAAAATGCTCCAAAAGCATTCAATTTTAGCTCAAAATGACTCATTTTCATTCCTTACTTTTTCATGATTTGGTAGTAAACGAAAATGCACAGAATGCATTAACCACTCGGCCGCCCGTGTCATCCATTCCTCCCAATGCATAAAATAATCATCAAATGTCATAAAATCCAAAATTTTCGTTTTCATTTTCTGTGCATTTCTGAATTTAGCCAATGAAAATGTCATTTTTTGAAGTGCATTCAATGATTGGAACTTGAATGTAGATGGAGGATGAAACTGCAAAATGAACAATGTGCATTTTGGTGCATTTTAGACTTCTGAATGCTTAAAAATGCGCTCGAATGCTCAAAAATAATTTTTGAGCATTTTGGTATATTTTAAACATTTTATCAGTCGTTTTTCATTCATTTTGCCTATTTTTTGTCAAAATGATTTTTTTTTTCATTCTCACCTCTTCTAAAATTTCCCGACTTCTCCTGATAATTGGGCCAATATCGATCCATTTAACGGGTTTTTGGGTCACTGGATGCAAAAC